CTGCATCCTACTGACAACTCCAAGTGGACTGTAGTTCATTTGTGCAGCAACAGACCCCTAACAAAACACTCCATCTGCACCACTGGGCCAACACTTTGGGATGTGATCAGGAAAACTGTCATTCAGGGTTACCTAGCTTGTAGTTTACAACCGTTTAGCTTCTTCCCTTAAGTCAAAGTCCATTTATCCCCAAGCTGAACTTAGATCAGTGCTATTCTCAGCTTTACTGCATGGGATAGCGTTCTGTTTTGCAGGCAGATGCAGAGATGAGTATATTTCAGCACACATACAATGGTTGTTGTTCGTGCATGACTTCAAAACACTGTTACACCCCAGCAGAAGACGTCTGTTATGCTCAGACCTCCTCTGTTCACTCTCTTTTGTACTCAGAGGACAACACATATGCAGAAATGAGGACAGTTTGTATTTTAAAAGAGAAAAAAAAAAAAACCCTCTTTCTGAGCATCTTTTTTGCTTCCAGTCTTTGCCCGCTCCCCTGGCTTGGGGGAAGCCATTGTCTTTGAAACAGCAGCTCCCTGGGAAAGAGGCCAGACAGAAGTGAAAGAGGCAGAAATCAGCTCAGGGTAGAAAAAGGAGCAAGCAGCGGGTCTCTGCAATACCCTCCCTGGAGTGATAGTCCTACAGAGGATATCAATGCTAATTGTCTCTAGTTTGATTAGTGTAGGCAGCCAGCACTTTCCAACTCAGCCATCCAACTCAGCCTCATCTGAAGGGCCGCTGTTGTTCTTTCCGTTTTTATTTCCAAGCTAGTGCTGGAATGATCATGGATCTTTCCTTGACTTAGCTTACGAGCATATTTACATGTTCCTTCAATGAAGACCTCTCCCTTTTGCTTTGTTCCATGTCATGAAGCCCCTTTTGAGGCAGGAGACTGTGGTCAGGAGGTGGAGGCTGTGTCTAGGCCTTTCTTACATGGCAATTCAACTTGATCACCCATCGCTCACTTGGACCCTTGCTGGTGGTATCCCATAGCACCACATTGCCCCTAAGTGGAAAGGTGGCTAAGGTTGTGGTAGGAGATAAAGACTCATTTCTCATGAAAGCTGCTAGTTGAAAGTAAGCAGGCTGTGGCAGCATGTGATTCTGTGTGTCTTGTTCCTGGCTCTTACCTCATCCAGTTTTCACCCTCTTCTTTTCCTATGCTTCATTCCCCATCTGTTAGGACACCAAGGTCCTTGCAGCCTGGGATTCTCAAGTGAGTTCTCACGGGAACTGTCATGTTCTCAAGGAGAAAGTAAACATCCCAGGGCACTTATGTCCCAGCAGATGTTTGCTCTGGCCCAAGGCACTCTGTCATTCCCACCACACCATAATGTGCTGAGCAGCCATTAGGCCTATGCTTCCCATCACCAGCACAAAATACAGACTCTTGCACAAGTGCTCCATAACACAGACTATTTCCATCTGTCCTTCAGACAGGCCATCATTAATGCTTCAACCAGAAATAAGGTTAAGATAACACATAGAAATAGTCAATGATCAAAGATGATCTCAAAAGTCCCAATTTGTCAGCAGGGCAAATTTCTTCTGAAATCCACGGAATCAATTTGCATGGCCACAACAGCACAAAAATCCCTACCTGACCCACTGTGCAACACTGGAAAGTTTCTTTTTAAAAGTCAGCAGGGCTTGGAGCTCTCTCCATTAAGACCACTTGTATTTTGATATAACTCCTGATCACACTGAATTTACTGTAGAGATCTGAAAGCAAAATCAGACATTTAGGTCATCATTTTCACTTGTTGACTGAGGCTTCTCAGAGAATGCTTACAGACATGGTGTTCTGTATAAATTCCATGTAGTGGAGAATAAGGCAAAGATTTAGATTATCATCTGGAGGCTGTTGTAAGGGGTTAAGAGAGAAGAGGATGAAAGTTATTTTCCTACAAGGGAAGATGGGGATTTGGCATTGTTCAATTCTCATAGAATGCATCGTCTGAGAGAGTTGGGTCATGATCATCAACAGGACCATCACCAGTAGGCACCAGCTTTGGCAGCCTGATCTGCCTCTGAGTCTTGTCTTTGGGGAGGTCCTTGAGGAAGCCACAGTAGGACAATCTACTGTCTGAGAGATTGTGACAGTACCTGAAGGAGGATGTTAATAGGAAGATCTTTCTATTTCCAAGTCTGTACTCCCTGCTAGCCTAGTGCAGATTCCTTAGAGCACTTTGCACAGTACCTATGTGTATGTATACCTATGTGTACCTATGTACACTGTGTACCTATGCAGCTCCACTGCATGGAGCTCCAGGGTTTATACATGGGAGTCTTATGTCCAGGCAAAGTCACAGAAGAGCTGACCAATACTGTTGGCACATCCAGGAGGGATCTTCACCAACCAGGGGCATCTGGTTGATACATCTAGTGTGCAACTCATTCTGACTTTGTTCTCTTGGTTCATTCTGGGTAGAAATTTTTGAGATTGGCTCAATTATAACCGACGAAAAGAAAAAAAAAACAGAAATAGATTTTGATTTTGCTCTTTAAATGCTTATTTGATTGAGGAGGTAATGAAAGGTGCAATATCCAGTGCTGTCCTGGAAAGCTGCTGATACCAACTCACTGTTTGTCTGTGTGAGAGGAAACAATATAACTGGAAAACCTCCTACAACACTGCCTCTCACTGGTAAAAATCTCAGTGACACTAAACTAGTTTAATGCAAAAGAATTCCATCTGGGGATTGCATTCTCCTCATGGAAGGGCTGTATTGTACCTCTGCCCCTCAGCAAGCTGTGTATAAGTTGTTTTGTATTGTTGGCTGAGCTCAACTATGTTTTTCCAGAGGAACACCATTTACCAGCCTTGAAGGGAAGCACCTAATCACCATACTGTCCAGACACATTCTTCTGACAAGGATATCCCCTCGAGCAACCCTATCACGTTCTAAGGTTGTTGTTTTCCTTCTATGCCTGCCTTCTCCTCCCCAGAAAGGAGTCTGCCTGGTCAGGGATTTGATGGGGACTGGGTGTGGTGGAAATATCAGTCAATTTGGCTAAGATTCATAGGTGAGGGCTTGAATAGGCAACAGACCAAGGTAGGCTCCTTCAGAGGCTGAGTCAGAGCTTGCTTTGACATTTGAAATCACCTCCTGGTGATGCTTGCTACGTAGTGACAGTTTTTGAAAGCTGAGGGAGTCTAAACACCAAAATTACTGTGCTTTTAGGCTTTTACAGTTGCACTCAGTGTTAGGTTTGAGTCATCACAACAAAACAGCTGAACACAACTGTGCCCAAAAGCTTTTAGTAAAGGCAAAGCTCAAGTATAATTTGTCCTGCTCCTTTTCTGCCCTTTGTGACTCAGTTTCCCTGCTTGGATAGAAAACTGACCTGCTCCAGAGTAGGCAGTGCAAACAAACAGCAGTTTGGGTCTGAGGTGCTGCAGCAGGTAGTTGTCCAAAATCATGCTGCATGTCTTTCAAATGCATCCAAAAGTCTTGGAGCATCTGGAAGAAGTAGGCAGTGTGTGCTTTGGGGGATGGGGATGGGCTTTCCTTTCCCGTAGAGCATCAGAGTGGCTCTAATGTGCACTGTTTCACCATGAAATGTTTCACCACATGTCTCTTGGACCCTAAGTATTACAGACACTTGCTGAACCCTAATATCCACCTTTGCTCTGCAGTGTCCTGGTAGTTACATAGCAGTGTTGCAGAGAAATCTTAGGGAGTGACTCGGAGGACCTTGGACTCCCTCCACAGCTCTGCTTCCCTGGGGACTTTCAAGATGTAGAGATCTCACTTGCCAGGGAACACTCAAGCAAAATCATCAGCTGTGAGCAATAAAGATCACTGAACTGTCCATGCTTTGGAGAAGCTCCGTAGTTTCCTTACACCTCCAAGAGAATGGGAAAACACCCCAAAAAGGAAACAGTATCCAGTTTTCTAGTCCATAGAGTTTGAAGCCCTTTTCAGCTATTTAAGTTGCTTGTTTTGAATTCCATAAATAAAGCCCAACAAAATCAAGATCCAGCCAAGAGCTTCAGAGTAAAAGACAATTAGAGAGTTAGTTAACAATCATCACCATTGTTAACTTGTTATCCCAAGCTGGTGAAGTGAGTAATGACTCTGGGACTTGAGTGGCAAAGGCAGCCCTTGAGACATTGGAGATGTAAGAAACTTCATACTAAGACAAACAATTCTCATTTGCCCCCAGTCAGTAGGGCTGTGATGGTACAAAGCAGAATGCAATCTGCTGGCTTATTGGCTAGTTTTAGAAAATAGTCACTAATTTCACATAACTTATTTTTAGGGACTTGACATAAGCCAATTTGAGAGCCTGATTTGGGGCGCTCAAGGCTTAGTACTCGCTGGTCACTATTTCTCCCAAATTTGTAGAGCCAGGTTGGCTAGTAATTCAGGTCCATCAGCTTAATGGATGAAAGTGAATCAGAGCTACAGGATGGAGAAGAGGAGACGTGGCTCTTACTTTAAATCCTTGAGTACATGGGATAGGATCTCTTCAGCTCTCTCAGAAACACTGTGATATAGTCAAAATAAATACTTTTCAGGCTTCTTGGCTAAATTTTGCCGACACAAGACAATTTGGGTAGCCACAGTTTCTGCATGCTTTAGAGAGATAGACATCCTATTACCAGGATCCCTCCATCTTCAAGTACTCTGTTGTGAACCAGAGATACCCTGCAGGTGATCCTCAGAAAACAACTGCAGAAGATTGGCTTCCAGTAGTGCTCTTCCCCCTCCACTGCACTCAGGTTAAATTCCACCATAAGGCCAGCAGAAATTGTTTCCATTCCCCTTCAAAAAAGGACTTTTGCCAAGGTGTGAGAACTATGATGGATCATTAGTATTGGATGGGATCATCACTCTCTGCTCGTTGTGGTTGGGACTGCTGTTGCTTCTTGTGGCCTCCCCTCTTTTCATGTGTGGGACAGATTCTTCCCATATGTGGATTTTCTGATGCCTTTTCAGGTACTGCTTCAACCGATAGCATTTCCCACACATTCCCCACTTGTAGGCCCCACCTCAGGAGTGAAGCAGCTGGTGCTTAATGAGGTGCCACTTCTGGAGGAAGCATTTCCCACACTTGGTGCCTTTGCAAGGTCTCGTACGAATGTGGATTTTCTGATACCTGAAGAGACTGGCCTTCTGATTGAAGGTCTTCTCACACTCAGGGCACTAGTAGGGCTCCTCCTTGGTATGGATCCTCTGGTGCCAAACCAGATTCGATCTCTGGGTGAAGCTCTTCCCACACTCAGTGCATTTAAATGGCTCACTCATGGACTCTTTGGTGTCGGATTAGTTTCCGGCTCATGTGAAAGCTCTCCCTGCACTCACTGCACTTGTATGGCCCCTCACTTGTGTGGATCTTCCGGTGTCTGGTCAAGTTTGATTTCTGATTGAAACTCTTACTGCACTCAGGACAGAGGAATATCCATTCACCCTTGGGAAGTCCCTTTGTTGAGGGATCTTTCTTGGACATGATTTGTTCTCCATTCTCCAGCAGCCCTTCTTTGGTGGGCTGAAGGCATTTCTGCTTCCTCTTTGGGCTCTGTTTTTCCCAGTTGTCATCTTCCACACTGGCTTCCTCTTTTATTTAGATCCCATAAGGGATCCCATACTCAATGATTTCCTGTGGTTCTTCCTTCACCTGGAGCACTTGGTGGCTGACTATGGGGGCTTCTCCCTCATGCTGGGCATCTCCTTCCTTTTTAACCTGGCTTCCACATAAAGCCATCAGTAAGAACTTTGGATCAAAGTGCTTTCTGTAGCCTGTTTTTTCTAATGGTTCTTCTTTGATACAAAGTTTTTGGCAGGCTATTGCAGTGATATTTACTTCACCTTCAATGGCTGGTTCTGTTTCTTCCTTCATCTGGATTTTCCAAGGAAGGCTCTTTGGATTAGATAAGTTTCCAGGTATACTACACTCTTGATCTCCCTCTCCATCACAGATCATGTTCTCCAACATATTGTCCTCCAACATGAAAGCCAAGTCAGGCTCTTCTTTAATCTGGATGATCCGGAGAGGCATGCCATTGATGTACCCTCCAGCAGCTTTTGCTTAGCATGTTTTCTCTGGTGGATGTTGAAATACCTTTTGGTGCTCAAACTCTTCCCACACTCTGTGCAAATGAAGGGCCCCCCACAGAGGTGTATCTTCTGGTGGGCCAGCAGTGTGGCACTTTGCCCAAAGCACCTGCTGCAATCAGGGCATTTGAAGAGCTTCTCTCGCCTGTGGATTTCCTTGTGTGCAGTGAGTGTCCCCTTCTTCACAAAGCTCTTCCCACACTCCATGCAGGCAAATGGTCTCTTCTCCATGTGGGTCTGCATGTGGACATTAAAGTATATCTTTGTGATCAGACTCTTCCCACAGTGGGCACAAAGGAAGGGGCCACCCTTGGCATGTGTCTTCTGGTGGGCAGTCAGGCATATTTCTAGATGGAAGCAGCCCCCACACTCCCTGCAGCAGAAGGGTCTCTCTCCTGTATGGTTGCTCTGATGGGTTATGAGGTGGCCCCAGGTTGTAAACTATCTCCCACATTCCCTGCAGGTGAAGAGCTCCTCTGTCTTGCGGATCTTCTAGTGTCTCTTCAGGTTTCCCTTCTTGCTGAAGGATTTACCACATTCCAGACATGAGTGAGTCTTCAATACCATATGCTTAACCAAGCTCTTCATGACAGTAGCACCCTGGGCTGCCAAGCAGGCGTGAAAAAGCCAGTGTTATGAAGATGGACTGGCTGAGAGGATATGAAAATCATCAGCACTCAAGCATCAAAATGTCATTCAATGGATACACTTTGGTCCCCACAGCAAAAAGGTGGTGCTGCTCCAGGAGTATCTGGTCATCTTCATTTCTCAGTCACCTCTTATCTCAGCTGCAGACATAATGTTTTAAACTCCATCTCCTGTTTCTCTGACCTCCCATTACGGAGGTTCCCAGGCAATTATGGAACCTTGAGGTGTTGGACTGCAAAAAAAAAAAAAAAAAAAAAAAAAGAGCAAATTGAGGCATTATTTCTTCTCCACAAGCATAGTGTACTGTGTGAACACAATAGGTGTCATCTTGGCTGCTACATTGGAGACTGAATCGGAGACTTTTGAAGCCACAGTCTAGGCTGGACTCCAACAGAGGGAGCTGGAACTAATTTTCCCTGTATGTGGGGAGAGTCTATAACATACTCACACCCTCAGACCCTGAGGTTTTGACTATATTATTGCTCCTCTAGTAACTTGCCTTCAGCATAGCTCGCTACGGATTAACAGTGCTTCTATTGAGATGATTTATAAATTAACAAGCTAATTAGTTAATGCACTTTGCACTGTTGCAACTAGTCCCATTTCTAAAGAGTGACTGTGGGGTAGCCAAAATTCTCCAAACCTAGAAAAACAAACAAACAAACTTGTCACCTCTGGCAGTGTACTGTTTGGTGTTGTCAGACCTCCTTGCTCAGGGAAAGGCATGTCAGTGCTGTCCTCATTTTTCCGCTGGAGCACTAAGGATTGGGAAGTTTTAACGTGGTCACAGAAGGCTGAATCAATAGCCTGGGACCTTTAATTTCCATTCTTACTTTTTCTAAACACTGAGTTGCATTAGACATGTGGGAGGCACAAACACCATCTCCTATCAAGACTGTGAATTCCCTCAGGAAGAAGCCTGAAAGGCCAAGAGGAGAAAGATATGGATATCCAAGGTGCCTGTTAAAACAGGATATACATGTGATAGGTGATTTGGAAATATTTAAAGGAGATGTATAGCTGTCTAAATAATGCAGCGTTTGCAGAAATACACTCCTCAGATTAAAAGGGTCAGAGTGGGAAGTGAAGATGCAGACAGGGAAAGCTTTTTTGGACTGCTTGGTTGTTCCACTCAGCTTCTGTCTTCAACTTACCCATCTGGATTGGCACAGAAGCCAGTAAGATCCCTGACAGAAGTACGGTGGTGCATCTGTCCCAGCTGAATTCACCACATTGTTATAGAAACCAATGGTGAGGAAAAACCTACTCACAGTTCTGAATCAGGAAAGATGAAACACACATGCCTGGAGCAGGATCTGGGGACAGTGTTTGCCAAAGGAGGGGAGGCCTTGTGGAGAATTGAGATCACCTCCCAACGAGCAGGTAACTGATACCAGCAATGGGTATCATGAGACAAAGCCTCAGTGTCAGCCAGGTTCTAAAGAAGAGTTCAAAGGTGTGTTTTTATTGAGGAAGCAGTAAGAATTAACCCTCTGAGCAGCTTACAGGGGCAGCCCCCCTGTCACTGATGATCCTTCTGCCAAACGTGGATGATTTTCTGAGTGATGCGCTCAGACACAGTAGCAGTTCAGACAGACTGGTGTGATGGCCCGTCCCTGCATACTGGATGTTCAAAGCCACCCCTATGAGATAACAACTTTCTGGCCAGTAAATTCACAGCAGTCCTTCAAATGTCTCTGAGTTTTGGCAAAAGGAACACATATCTGAACTCAGATCATTGTAAAAAATAATAAAAAAAGAAAATTCTATTTTTTTTTTTTTTTTTAGCATCCATGTCCTGCAGATTCAAATCCTGATTTTACATCCAGCTCTCCAATACCCCAGGCTTAGGGTCTGAATCAAGGACAGAGTCAGTCTTTAAGAAGTTAATGTTTCTTTATTTCCTCTCCCTGGGCAAATAAACACAATTGGGGCTGAAAGCAACTTACCTGAGCAAGCCATTAATCCTTGTTGGGCATTTCTCTCCTCCTGGGGAGTCAGCGGTACTAGAGAGCTCGCGACTTGGCTGCAAGTTGTGTCCTGTCGTGTTGTAGCTGGGCTGACCTAAATGAAGTCTGCTGCCAGCATGGTGAGAGCTACTGCAGGAAGGGTGAAGCTCTACAAAGACACATGGCAAAGGTTGAATGAGCAGAGGGAGGATGGAGAGGATGCTCATGATTTGCACCACCGAGATGGATTTTTCTCCTGGCTGCGATGGTGTTTGCAGGCTCATAGGGAGGGAGAGGACAGGAAATTCCCCCCAGTATGTCTTTATTCTGGACCACTACTTTTATGGGAAGCTGGATGGGTTCTGGGTTTACACTGCCTTTTGGGAATTGTAGTTCTTCAGAGAAGTCTTGGTCCCTGGTCCTGCCTATGCAGTTCTGCATACCAGTGAGACAGGATCAGGCCATTTGTGCCTTGTCCCTATTACACTGGCTTTTTTTTTTTTTTTTTCCCTGCAGGAAGGAAAAAATATCCTCTAACCCTGCAACCGCTTTTCTTTCCTCCTGGGCTATTTGTGTCTGGGACTCACTTTGGGATGAATCACCAATGGAAAGGTGTATGTCAGGCAGTATAGGAGCATTTCTGTGTCCCATAGGGAGAGGCAGCAGCTAAGACTACTGATCAGGTAGCAAGAACGGAGCTTCTTTTTAATGATCAGTTAAAGTACAAAGTGACTGTGTAGATTATGAAAGGGTAGACACTGAGGCATGTGGTCTAGTTTTGGTAGAGAGATGAGCACCACCTGGTGATGAACCTCACAGGATCTCACAAAAAGAAGTGGCTTTCCCAGACTTTTCCAAACCTGAACCTGCAGAAAGAAACTGAGAAACCCACCAGGAAGCTCTACTCCAGCTTTTTTCTCTGGTAGGGTTTTAGGAGTATGAGGGGAAGCTATTCCAGCATGACAGTTTCTTGGGGCACAGTTTTTCCCACATCTCTGGGGGAAGGTGGACATGTCAACTTGTATCCTATTCCAGTGAAGGAAGAAGACAAATTAATCACAGAATCATGACTGAATCTACTCAGAGCTTGATGAAAAGAGGAGACCAAACATGCCATTGTGCAAGACTCAGATTCTGCTTGAACTATTAAAATGGATTCAGGAATCCTCGCGCTCATTCCCAGAAGAGCTTCATAGTCAGGGTTGTTGGAGCAGGGTTAGAGTAACTGTCATGTCCAAAATCCTTTCTTCCTAAGCCCAGTTTGGAAATTATGGATATCCAAGAAAGGGAATTCTCTGTGTCCACAGAGTTCAGGAAGGGAGGTGAAATACTTCTCACTTTTGATGGATCAGTCAGAAGCAATTGATACTCCATGGTTTTTGTAACTGAGTGTAACAGCGTGAACCAGGCTACCCATTTTCCTTAGGCAGAAGCTTGTTTAAAATTAGCAACAACAGGCTGAGGCTCTAGACCAGTTTCCTACACCTCTGTACGTTGTGTCCATGACCAGGTCATCTATTTCTCTGGCCTTTACAAGCGCCCTGTGATACTGCTGTTGGTGGCCTCCCAGTCTGAAAGGAATCTGTACACGTTTGGAAAGCAGAACTGGCTTGATGAGAGCTCTAATGTGAGCTACAGTGACTCTGAGACTGCAATGTACCACTAGATGCCAGTGGAAGCTCTTAACAGCCTGTTCTCATTTAGAGAAACAGATATTTTGGGCAATTTGATGTGTTTTATAATTTTTTTTTTTAGAAGTCAATCCTCATTTTCAATCTAACAGAAGCTTGCTTGCCTCTGGGAATTTTGGTAGTATGTATAAATAAACGTGTGAATGTGTTTGTATGCATCATTTTTTTTTTTTCTGTTTATGTATGTATATGTTGTGGGCTTTTTTCCCCCTATTTTCTGTATTCTTCAGAAGACAACTTCTTTCCAGAGTTTCTTCTGAAGACAGAAACCCAACCTCATGTTCCTTTCTTCACCTCATTTCCATCCAGCACACCAGCTTTCCGAATCCTTCACTTGCAAAGTCCTCTGGCCACATCAGACTCTACTACCCTGACCTGGACACTCCATGTCCAAGAAGATAGGACTATCCCAAGGACACTTGGAATGAATGTAAACCCCAGCACCATTCCAGGGTGTAGGAAGTGTGTGTGTCTTGTGTGCTGGGGCACAACTATCCTCCCACTGCAGGATCACTAAAGGCTAGGGACAATTTCCCCCTTGGCCAAGTTGTGTTTTGGTTCTATATTCTAATCCTGTACATGATGCACCTATTCCTCTCTGAAGGGCCCAGTGCTGTTTGCCATTGGAGACAAGATACCACAGTCAGCAGAATAAAGGTCTGATCCATTTTGGCAATTACTGCGTTGTTTTTTCAGACAAACAAAACTTTGTGTTTGGCTGGCCAACTGTATCTGACAAGGCTGCATCCAGCAGGAGAAGCAAGAGCTAAATTTAAGTCAAGCTGTCATGTGCTCCAGTGACTGATTAATTACACAATGAAATAAAAACAAATTTTAGGCAAAATAAAGGAGGGGGAAAAATGAAACATCCTCTCCATTTTACAGAGGAAATATTGCAGCAAGTTTATTGAAGACACCACTGTTGATTACATCAGAAAGCTTCAGAACACTACTATTGCCTTGTTGTTTGGAGTGCACACAAAACAGGGAAGCTGCACAAAGTGACACAGAGGGATAAGGGAACAAGGGGCCCAAAAAATTGTTTATGTGAGTCCATGGTTGTTCCCAAGATCTATAAACGTGATACATTCCTACTGAATCTGAGCAAGACCTGGGTTGCCTTACTGTTCTGTAGAATGTTTTTCATTAATTTAGTAACCAACACCTACAAAAAGCTAGTGGTATCTCATGTGGAACATTTTTGTGGAACTGCTTGATGTCTAACGGCATGGTGGTATCTGCTAGAAAGAGATGTGCTTCCTGAACATGGAGACTGAGTTGTCTTTTTGTCCTCCTTGTGCTATGGGTGGGATACAACACTTGCAGGTCTGCCTATGATGATTTAGAAAAGACTTGATGACATCCCTAAGGTCTCACAGCACATCACTGGTGGAGGAAGAGAGAAGCATCTTAGCACCTGGTATAAGTCATTCCTGACTCTTAGGATTCTTCAGTGCTGATTTGTACTGGCTGAAGTTTATCCTGGAAGCTGCAGGAAGGCTCTTTCCCATTCCCAGTTTGCATGCCTGGTCTGTCTTCTGAGAGTCACTCTTTGTAGATCTGACCTGTTTAATACAGATTTTTATTTTCATCTCATAATCAGTACAAAATAGAAGGATGTCCACTGAGCAGATCACCACTCTTCCCAGCAATCCAGTCCCGTGGGACTGTTTTGGAGAGTGTTTGAGTCCTTCCTGAGGGAACCCACCCTTACATTCTACTGACCTCCAGTAGGAAAGGAGTGTCTCACCTCCAGAGTGAAACTTCTTTGTGCTTATTTATGTCTCTTCTTAGTCAGTTGCATTCCAATCCATCCCCATGTTTTGGAGGTTCAACAATCTTGGTCTACGAGAGTGACTTGCAATGTGCTTCCATCTGATCACTTGTGGATTTTCCCTGTATACTGTCCCGCTTAATGAAGCAGCTTCTCCTGTGCCTTTATAACAAACCATCCATGATTCAAAATTTACTGTTTTGGTCTCATCCTTCTTCCAGACCTGACCCCTAAAGTCCTCCCTGTCCTAGAAACACAGGTAATGAAGTCGCAGCAATGTGAGTGCTCCTTCCCTTCTAGTGTGCCACTGAGTGCCATACATTTATCCGCAAGCCTTTGGCTAGGTGTCTTCCAAGTGCAGCCCATAAAAGCAGAGCTTAGGCATGAGCCTGGTATTTGCTGGTGCCTCAGTTGTCCTTTGTGGAGGAGAGAGTAAGCAAACCCACCTGTGAACTCTGGGCACTGTGAGACTGTGGGCAGAGCAGAGAAGGAGAAGTCTTCACTATAAAATACCTGCAGTGGAGCGAGGCTCTCTGATGATTAAAACATCTTATATTCAGTGGAGAAATTTCAAGGACATGATTCATTTGCCCTAATTCAGATGTATGCCTTAGGCTGAGTCACACCCTGGATCTCACTGACCCTATTTCTACTCGCTGCCTAGGAAGCCCATCTCAGACACAGACGTGCACATAAATCCTGCTGTCAGCCAGCTGCCCGAGGGACTGAACTCTGATGTGCCAG